TTTTCAATATTTCCATGGTTTTTTAAAAACAAGATTATATCATAATCAGTTCGCCTACTGTGTGATTTCAACTATTCAGTAATTGTCCCATGTTTCTGTCTTGGAGGCGATTAGATTCACGTCGAATTGGCGTCATTTTTTCACGAAAAATTTTTGTGATTTTTTAAATTTAATATTTATATGATTTTTTTCAAAATTGTGTGTTTTCATCCATGCAGTTATTGTCCCGTGTTTCTGCCTTGCGTTTAAATTAGTGTCGACTTGGCGCCATTTGTTCACAACTTTTTTTTTCATGATTTTTTTCGGATTTCACTCATTTTTGCGCAACAATGATAATGAATTTTCGACAATATGCCAGTATCTTTCAAACATTATTTTTTCATGGTCGGGAGATGTTACTTAAAACATGGACTTGACGTAATGGTTTAGCAATCATTCAATTGATAATAATAAGGTATAATATTATCTCCTGTCACACCTTGTTTGAATATTCAAACTGCTCAGATTGGTTTCCCCAGCCGGGTACTCACGTGTCTACCCACCGAGAAGGGTCTGAGGCAGATTTTAGACACATGCAGGAATCTTCATTGGTGTTCTGGGTAAATTTAAATGTTTGCAAAGAAACTGTTCAATCTTCCTCTAGTCATGAATTACTCTCCAGGAATAATATGTAAACGTCTTTAGCGTTGCGCGACCATTGACTTTTCGAAACAACATTATCATCTACATATATCCAAGCATTCTTCTTTTCTCTCAATAAGCACGTATAATGATCGCCGTTCAATGTACTATGCATAATGGCACTTTTGACTGTATATAGTTTACCAGATATCGATACAGAAGTAGTTAGTACTGCTTTTAATTTCCAATTTTGTAGTTTCTTTTTTATATTTCTTTTATCTACATCAAATATGTTTAACTTCACCACGGTTACGTCAGAACTTGAAGATATGGGTTTTTTTTGCAAAATGTGGCTTGATTCTACCAATTGTCACAATATTCCACAATGTCATTCCACTTATCAAAAGTTGTTCCAATTAACTAGTTCAGATCAACATTCTTTTTCAATTTATTCGTATCTAATGCAATCATGATTCTTGATTCTTTTGAGGTTGTAGTGTAATTACATATTTTACAAGGTTTCAAATCAGTAAATTCTACTTCAGCAAGTTTTTGTATTTAATTTATTTTTTCAAATACCACTTCTAAAAATGATATAGGATCTTGTTCATTAGCTTGACAAAAATGGTTACTAATTGATTGTACTGCTCGGATTGCATTTAGAACTTGTGAACCACCTCTCATGTACTGTTCAAGAAAAGATGGAATTTCGGACAATTGATCGTTCTGTATCTTGGATAATGCAGAATGCATAGCTGAAGAGTGACAAATACATTGAATTCCTGTATTAGAAAAACTTGAAGTTCCATTTAAATTGTATAAACTGACAACAGATGTTTCAATAAGAGTTTTTCCTTTTTCTATTTCGATATCATCTATTACTCCTATTTGTAATATCCATCGTATATCCCATACTTTTGGCCAACGTTTAATTATTTCAGGTATCTGTGGTAAATCAGATCGATAGAGTCTTCTTATTGCCGGCCTTCCGCTTATATCAATACATTTTCCGTGATCGGTCTGGCCGTACAGTTGTCCCTAGATTTATTCCACAACATTGCTTGCTTGTTAATCAATAAAAATCATCAGCCTGGGTTTTGGACATTACCCAGAGCTAGCACATTATCGTTAAAACATATTCATTGAATTATCCACATCCTTCGACAATGTCTCTATACACTTAAAAGAATTCAGCAATAACGTGAAAAAGAGCGTAACACACCCAGCGTTTAAATCACCCCTGACATTCACAATTTAACCTCAACTCTGTGTTTCTGCCCAACGCAGACTGGGTTGCTGGACACAACCCAGAGTTGAACTCTGGATATAAACCATCAGGGACAGATTATAATTATCGGTTAAGGTAGTTCCGCAGTAATCAAATGGGAGAAGAAGGAAATGGTTTATAAACTTGAATTTTTGAGGATATATTCTCTTAATCATTAGAAATATTCCTCCGGAGTCCCAGAACGACTGACCACGTAGATTTTCGGTAAAAAATTATTTTAGAAACGTCATTAACACGGAACTTTATGGCACTCAGTTTTCAAAAATCAACCGAAAATAATCGACAAGGGACAAAAATCTAAATTTTCGCTGAATCACACCGTACATCATTCACGAATATTTACCAGCAATTTTTTTGATACTTTATCACGTGAATGCTGAGAAATTATTAAAAATGTGGGGACGAGTCAGGAAATCTGGGAAAATGGCGGACGAACTAGGCAACGTTGAGCGGAATTGCATGAGCTCGGGTGGGGAGGTGGAAGGGAGTTAGGCTCGCGGGAAATTCAAATGTTCGCAACTACTCTCCGAGGTCTTTTGCACTAGGAAATATCATTGCAAATAATTTCAAAGTTCATATTCCATATTTTTTCTTCAAATATTGTTGAGCTCCATCTCAGTGCGGACACTCCTCCCTTGGTTAGCCTTTCCCAACTCTTTTGCTGTCATTTTCAGCTCATACTGTTTCTTCGTTAGGAATTTTCCTCTATACCTCGCTCTCGAAGAATTTTCACAATTTGCCATGATGTGTTTCACTGATTTCTTTTATCACAATCAATGGGATATTTTCATAATAATTTCACAACATAACCTCTACAACATAACACTAACACTCCCGCCGAATTTCTACAAGGCCTCTACTATAGATTCTACAGCATGGTATGAGGCATATCGAGGGACGAGCGTGCCAACTCCAGCAAATGAAAAAGCGTTGATGCCAAATTTATTGTAAAAAAATGAGTTGATAAATAAATGCATACAAATAATTTCAGAGGGTAAAAATCGTTGCGAGGGGATTCATTCAATACTAAAAATCGAGAGGAATGAAGTCGGAGTAATTCCTGACCGTGCATTAACATTTTTTTATTCGATTATTATTTTTTCAAAAGTTGTCACGAAGTGGCGGAACGTTTGATGTTTACCCCCACTCCATATCCCGCCAAACTTACTGCGGAGGTACCTTAAATCATTACGAGACCGAACGCGCGCTCCGCGCGCCGTTTGGTTCCGTGGTGTTGATGATGACGTAGCCAATTGACCAATGAGAAATAGGGTTACAAGTGAAAAGTCTTACGCATGAAGTTAGCCAATCTTACTCTCGCCCAACTTAATTTTGGTGTATCACCTTTTATAGATAGGAATATCTCAGACCTTATATCGAAACATCCTTTTAACATCAACCATCAATTCTCTGATAAGTGCTCGATTGCATACATTTTTTTCAGATTTTAAAAACCCTACAAACGTGTTTTTGCTTCCGAACGGAAGCATTGCAATCGTTCGATTTTTTGCTTCCGAACGGAAGCATTGCAATCGTTCGATTTTACGATTCTCTAATTTTGCCTGGAAATGATGTAGAATGGTCTGAAACGTAAAAAAACCACGTTTGTAGACCGTGTGTATATGTGATTATGGTCAGCTGAGGGTCAATTTTTACAAAAGGAGTATAATTGCGTAAATTAATTCCCGAAAATCTGAAATTTGGTCAGTTCATAGGTTGTAATATGAACTTCATCTGTGCTGAATTTCAGGCCGATCGGTTGAGTAGTTTTTGAAATATCTATGATTGTTTCTGAAAAATTTTTTGGAAATATCTCAGAAACTGTCCAACCGTTTACATTTTTCATTCTTTTGAAATGTTCGTCTCAATGTGCTCTATATGGATCAGTCAGAATATATATATATGTTCCTACAAAGTTTTCGAGATATTTCAATTTTCATTTTTTTCAAAAGAATGCGAACTACACCCTCTCTCATTTTTAAAAATCAATCTATCAACTTGAAATTTGGCAGAAAGATTCCTATTATGACTGCGATGGTTGGTATTGCAGATGGGCTGAATCGGATGATTCGTTCAGGAGATATTCAACTTTGTATCTGAAACGATTTTCTCAAATATCTCAAAAACGACACAATTGATTTTATTTTTTTTTTTTTTTTGCTAAATATTCGGTACATTATGCCCTAATTATATGAACCAAAGAGTTTTACGCGTTCGAAAAAAAATCTGAAGATATTTCAATTTTCATGTTTTAAAAAAAAATGCGACGTACACCCTCTCTTTTCCAAATATTTGAAAATTTGAGAGATTACAGGTACTCCATTCGGAAGCCAACCATCAATGAAATTGATGGCAAAATAATATTTAAAAAATAAATAAATAACATGTGAAGTAACAATCATATGTCTTCTACGGCTAGGAACGGCAAACTGCTTGTTTATGAATATATCACTCTTTTGCAATAAAGAAGTATTCCATTATTTTTCCGATGCAACCAATATTTATCGAGTTATAATGCCATGATCGATTGCAGGCAGCAAAGCACCTCCAATTTTTTTGGTTTTCTCTTCCCTCACGTTTTACGATATCTAAGGGGGCCTCCTACCAAATACTTAATTTATATCAAAATCGAAAAAAAAATTTTTTCTTTTATTGAAATAGTGTAGAATGCCTCCTATGGCAGAAAATGCAATTATCGACTGTCCTGAGGTATTTCACTCCATCAAGCTATTTTACTTTACGCAGTCGATTTTCATTATTCTATTCTCTCTTATTTTTCATGAACGAGACTATTTCTTTGTCCTTTCTTGGATCATAATCCAATGTAGCGGAACGAGTATTTTATGTCCCAAGGGATAAAAAGTGCGATCGAACCGAGCGAAGCAAGCAGCATATGCACCACAGTCGAAAAGTGTTTTCTCCCGGGGGTCCATAACATACTATTTTGTCAGAACATGCAGAGACTCGATTTCTGGAGTTTTATTAATTGTAAAACCTTGCTATATGAACGCAGTTAAAAAAAAAAATTCAACTAATCTGGAAATATATGATAAGTTTATTCAATAAGGTAAAAATTTAATTTTGTACAAACCTTCGTCTTTCACTGTCTTGAGGATCGATTCCAGGTAAGCAAATGATCAACCCTGGAGGTGCGTTAGACATATCAAATCGTCTAACAACTTTCTTGCAGATACCAATCCGAACAAAGAAATTGTATAGTGTATTACTAACAACTGCTACCGGTGGTTGTAAAACGTTTGGGAAAAAACTAAAAAACAAATAATTCCAAAGTTGACAGTAAGCCAATTTTAAAGCTATTTAATAATTTACACACCTAGCAAATGTGAAGTTGTCGGCCATGTCCCCTCTTGTTTCATTACTATGCTTCTGATAAAACCTCAGATAAACCCATGAGACGAATAAACCATTTAGAAACATTGTCGGTTGGGTTCCTTCTAATAAACCAACAATCCACAGTAATAAAAGAAAAATCCAGAGCGTCAAGGGAATATTTCTATTCGTGATTTTCCCCACAGGAGTTTTTGCTATAATATGATCGGGCATTATTTGTTTTACCGCAACGCTGACTCCTGGAACCGAGAGTAAAAAATTAATTCATTCAACTGTAGTAAGGCCTGGAAATCTAACCAAACAAATGGAGAATACAATTTTATATACATTATGAAACTAACGAAATAAAACTGATAGAGGATCAAACAATCATATTGGATAAACACAATGATGATTTGAGTAGATTGGACAGACTTATTTTTGTTATCGATGCATCATGAAATTAAATGCGTATATTGAATGTAATATTTCCTCTATACCATTTCAATTCTGAGAAGACATTAAAATGAGAAAGAAACTGCACGTAAATGTAGTTATTCCATAAAAATGATTTTCAGGATTTTTTCAGGCCAGGAGCGCTTGTCAATACGACAAGATTTTTCAACGCGACTAAAATGAGGGCCATATATTTCTATTTTAAAGAGCTGCGAGTCGTGTTCATATATATAATAGCATAATCATATTTTGTAAGTTTTTACCAGCTATATATCCTGTAAGTCCATGAATATGAATGTCAAACAAAAAACTCGGATCGTCAGTACACATGAAGAGAAACAAATAAAATATCGCTGACAATAGGGCAACGCCAACATTAACAATCGCAAAAAAAGTCAACATTTCCATAGCACCCCACAGAGGCTCAATCAATTTACCACAGAGTCCAACCGTTACAATGTCAGCGCATACTTCCCAAAAATGTATTTCCAAAAAACAAAATGTAAAAGCTGTCCATATCCAAAAAACAGAAGGTAACAAATAGCCTGGTGTTACACTGAGAGCCAAGACTGCTTGTTCTATGTATGACAAACAATATGAAAAAAGTACGATTATACAGATAACTTTAACACTGGCACTGGTATTTCCAAGAAGTGCAACAAACTGCTGCTGCAGATATGGGAGATTATGCCCTAAACCTTTCCCAAATGCCATTTAATCGGCGGTATTTATTCACTTTCCAATTCTAATTATATGCTTCTACTGGGAGAAGCGCAGTGCTTCTTTCTAACCTTCAAATTTGTTACGCCATTCATGCCAGATATATCATATAAGTTATATACAATATCTAACCTTTATATATCTTTAACAGAGAAAATCGCAATTTTCAATCAAAATTCATTTCAATTATTATTATTTTTGTAATTTAAGAATGATTGAGAATAATGCGCGAATAGAATGAATTTTTATCATTGAGGAACTAATGGTTAATTTATAATCAATTATTTTTAATACGGTTTATATTTATAACAGACAACGTGGCAAATATTACTAATGCCAGCTTAAATATATACTAAATCATTTGGGATGTACTACAAACAGCGGTTAAAAAGTACACGGAGAGAAAAATACATCATTATTTCGTGTGAATCCATTCAAAAATTAGTGTGCTATTCACCAACCCATGGGACCGAACCGTGGTCAACAAAAAATTCGGGTGTGGCGCCCCAATTTTTAAGGGAGTTTCACGGAAAAGTAGCGTAAGTTCTTCAAAAATTAGGGTGCCACATCCGAATTTTTCGGGTGGGTCCAGAGATTATAGGGGAGATTGCTAACGCCAATGGCGAGGCTTCAACCAGAGATTATAGGGAAGATTGCTAACGCCAATGGCCAACGTTACGAGGGACCCATAAATCTCGACGTTTCAGGCAATTTCCAACCGTTTGAATATATATTAGCGAGACAATTTTTTCCGAATTTGTTTAATCATTTTTCAATTTGTTAACAAAAAAGATATCGTTAAAAAAAAAAAGTTCCGAGGGACCAATAAATCTCCACGTTTCAGACGATTCTCAATCGTTTGAGTATATATTCGTGAGACATTTTTTCCCCAATTCGTTCAACAATTTTTCGAATTTTTTACAGTGAACTCATTTTTCATTCTGTCCATCGGTTGTTTCTTGATCATACCCCCACTCCGCTTTATATCGAATGTTTTCGTACGTCACGGTTTCCTCGAATTATCGACACTCTCGGTTTCACGCTGTGCTGAATTATCTACACTCTGGGGTTCGCGCTCTGTCTTATCCATACTCACGGGCTCTGAACATTATCGACACGCACGGGCTCTGAGGATTATCGACACTCATGGGCTCTCGACCTGTTTTACTTACAGGTACGGGCTCTGACCCTGTTGAAGGTTTTGTACGGGTGGCGGAAAAAATATCCCCGGAAAAAATATCCCGGAAAAAAAATCCCGGAAAAAATATTCCCGGAAAAAATATCCTCGGAAAAAATATCCCCGGAAAAAATATCCCTCGAAAAAATATCCCCGGAAAAAATTTCCCCCCAATCATACATTTCATTTCTATCCCCCTTTTTTTTATGTACATATTTTTCCAAAGGCGGTGGGGCGTAGAGGGGGGTCCAGGGGCGCAGCCCCTGGCGGGGTCGAGGGGCGGAGCCCCCGTGGGGTCCAGGGGCCCAGCCCCCTCCCACTCCCCACATAACACATTAAATGAAAATTTGAGAAAAAAAAAGATGATTTTAATTTCATGGGGAATCGAACCCTTAACCCTTTTATATGTCATAATAAATAAAGAAATTTTTTTCTAAAATGCATTTTGTAAATTATTAAAATTAGGATTTTTAAATATTTATTATTAGAAATTAAATATTAGAATTTTTCGTGAGGTTAATTTTTTCGGAGATATTTTTTCCAGGGATATTTTTTCCGGGGATATTTTTTCCGGGGATATTTTTTCCGGGATTTTTTTTCCGGGATATTTTTTCCGAGGATATTTTTTCAGGGATTCGTTTTGTACAGGCGCTGGCAATCTCCCCTATAATCTCTGTGTAAACACTATAGACCTTCTGTAAATTAATTAAAATCTAATGAATAATTACGTGTAAAAGAATGAAACCAAGGTATTTATCATCTACAAACGATTTGCTTTCCATTGGTTAATATTATTTCGGTCTACAAATAAAAATTAGTGGGGTGGGGTGCTAACTTCCGATCATTATTTTGTTTAATTAATTAAAAAATAATGAAGGGTCTACAAAATTTTTTAATTATATTACAATGATGTACAAAGGTCCTACTATTGATCTAAATAAAAAAACTAATGAATGTTCAATTATGTGGTGCCAACTACCAGTCACCATAATCTTGCTGAAGGAAGAGCGGTGGCCCTCTATCGCAAATCTATGAAAGTGCACTGCATAGTAAGAAAGCAGAGATTAACGAATTGCCCAAAAGATCCAACCTCTAAGTTTCTAATTTAGTGCACTGCCTTTGGCTGATATTCTCCGACGATTACGAATTTACTTTGACAAGTGGCATTGTTAATTTTTCATCATCCGTATGTTTTATAAGGTCATTGCGAAGTGAAAACGTCATGTCAATTCTATTTTGCATAATGTGAGGACAATTAATTACTCATTAATAAAAAACCGCGATAGAAGTATAGGAATTTCTTGCTTCTTAATTTTCGTTGGGTAAAACTATTCGTTATGGTTATTTGGAATTCTTAATTATCTGTTATATTTCATCTGATTGTTATCAATTTTATTTCCATTGTCTACTTTTGATGGACATACAGTAAGATGCAATGAACAGCAAGACGACGCGTAAAACAAAAATTTACAAACATTTATTAATCCCATATATATTAAGAAATTCGCATAATTATCAATAACAAAGAACAAGTAGATTTTTTGATTAAATTTTCAATAAAATTGCAGCAAGTTCTCTCTGAATTTCTTACGAAATTGTTAGATTTTATTTCCATAGTTCGTCTCAGCGAGGAAATTTAATCGCACAAATATCGTTTAATAATTTTTTTGTATTTTGTGGCGACAAATTACTGATCCTTTTTTTGCCATTCCAGAGACACAATTTTCGGATTAGCCAGAACCATTTTCTTGCTTTCGTTCGTCACCGTACTAACGCTCTTAATCACTGTTCCGATCTGGACAATATACTGGAGGAACCTATTCGCGAAGAAAAAACAGGCGAGCGCGAAAAAAAATACGACAATTGGAATATTCCACCCATATTGTAATGCAGGAGGTGGAGGTGAAAGAGTACTCTGGAGTGCGATTGATGCCCTTCAAAAACAATACTCTAATGTTCATATTGCGGTTTATACCGGGGAGCTCGATACTGATCCAGAGCAGATGTTGAACAAAGTTCAGAGAACTTTTGAAATTGAATTACGACCGATTGAATTTATTTACTTGTACAAGAGGAAATGGGTTGAGAGTGAGATTTATCCGAGGTTCACCTTGTTGATGCAGAGTCTGGGTTCGATGTATCTTGGATTCGAGGCACTAAAAGCACTCCAGCCAGGTAAGTATTTTGTTGTTTTCAGGGCTAGCCTTGCAGAACAAATGATCCTTCGCCACGTGTTAGTTTGACATCTGAGCCGAGCAGCCGAAGATGGCCAACATGTATTGGACGATTGTGTTCTCCAATGTTCGGCGTAGCTGTAGTATATTTCTGAGCTTTTGGGGTGGGGTTTTCTACTCGTGTAGTTAACCAGTTCTCGCCTTCGGCTTGAACGCCAACTTCATGCGAAGAAAAACCGCATCCCAACACCATAGAAATATACTATTTCGTACGGTTCTCCACGATTCCTCATGTGGGAAAGCATACTGTGGACTTCCCAAACTCGAAACTTAGAAAATCACTATGAAAAAGGACTATCCGAGTTCTTGTGATGAGATTTTTAACGAACGTGGTTCACCTTTGGCTCGAATGCCAATTCCACGCGAGTAAAAAACTTCATCGAAAAAGTCAAATTTCTTTCTGCGCGGTGCTAAAAACTTGGTGTTGCTCAAATTTTTGCCTACCAAACATTACCAATTATCTCTGTCCATGAATTTTTTAATTGTGGTGACAATTGTTATCTAAATGTTCTGTATTTTCCGCAGATTAGAACGATTATAATAATATTTACATTGAATTAAAACTTTACTTTATCCAAACGTTTAAAAACTCTTTCTAGATATTTATATTGACACGATGGGCTACGCTTTCACATATCCACTCTTCAAGTACCTCGGTGGTTGTCGAGTTGGCTCTTACACTCATTACCCGACAGTCTCTACCGACATGTTACGTCACATCTACCGAAGAGTCGTTTCACACAATAATCATCGCATAATTGCTCGCAATCCTTTCCTGTCAGCCGCCAAGATCGTGTATTATAAGTTCTTCGCTGCAATTTATGGGTGGATGGGTAGATGCGCGGACATTGTGATGGTCAACTCCTCGTGGACTGAGGATCACATAAACTCCATTTGGAATTGTCCGCTCAAAACCCACCGAGTTTATCCACCTTGTGCCATTGAACGTTTGGCTAATTTATCTCTTTTATCAGATGAGGAAAAGGGAAATATAACTAGGATTGTATCAGTGGCACAGTTCAGACCTGAAAAGAATCATCCACTGATGCTGAGAATTATGTACGAGCTCAGATCGATCATTAAAGAGGAAGACTGGAATAAAGTAGGATATTTGATCTTTTTCTTCTTTCATCTATTTTTTAAATCTTACACTATTTTATGTTAGAATTGTATTAAATTGGTATTAGACTCTGATTGATAATTTTACACTTCAGCGTGGAGGAACTGGCCGATTAGATGCCGGTTAATTGGCCGGTTACTGCAAACTAATATGCAAAATAAGCCAGGCCGTAATAGTAATTTATGTCATACGGTATGAAAAGTTTTTTATCAAAATTGACGGCGCGGATGATGGTGAAAAAAGTGAAATAGAAAAATTTTCTATTTCTCTAATGGAAATATTTTTTCAATTATTGTTTTTTTTGTTGTTATGCTTTTGATTGGTTATTGGTTGCTTTTAATTGTCTTTATAAAAAAAAGATTTCGTACCATTCATAGATTTTTTGAAGTAATTTTGAAATTATGATTGAAAATTGTTTGACAAACAATTCTTGAATATTACCAGGTTGTTAATAGACCTGACTTGACATGCATTTTCAAACTTTTCATTTCTATATCTACCACATCGAGCGAAAGGACAGACATGGAGACTATCGATATCTCGAAACTCTGCCACGCTTATTCCTCATTGGTTTAGTCGTCTTAGGCGGCAAATTGGAATTCAAAACTCATTTAATTTTTATATTTTCGATCAAAATTTTTATAATTACAGCGCGGTCTCGTTGGTATAACTAAAAGGTTGACAATACAAATTATACGTAAAATTACAATCACATGTTTTCTACAGCCTACCAGCAGTAGACGGCTTATTTCCATTCCGTCAAGGAATTCTTCAATTGTTGAATTGTTGAGAAGATTTCACAGCTTCTTTACCCATTTTTTAAACACGCCTTTAAAACGCAATATTAAAAAAAATTAGAATTGCAGAATATACAATGTTAATGATAATTTTCGGATTTTTACTCAGCTTCAATGCCGGAGTTAGATGTCTGCGGTGCTATTTCCTAATGGTTGATATATTTTTTATAAGTTGCTGACGAACAAAAATAAGTTCCGTATGGGGTATGCTGAGTAAACTCGACGAGGTTCAAGATCTTGCCCCCTGCGATTGTATCGTCATTTTTTTTCCATATTATACATATCATTAAATGACAATTCAATTTTTTTTTACATTTTCTGAGGATATCAGGACCCGCTACGATTTTTTTAATTTTTCAGATTTAGATTTTTTTTTCTTCAAAATTTCGGTTTTTTATCGGTTACTCAATCATTACAGCTGTACATTTTTTGTATCTCACATTCTATGAGATTACATTGTCAAACAATAAAGAATCCCACTCTTTCCGACGTGGGCCCCATTTTTTTTTTTCAGTGAAATTCAGTGAATTTGTGGTGCCAAAAAAAAAGAACTGTCATCACCGGAAATCGTGGTTCTTCCATTTTATCTCTATCAATTTCGGTTTCGGTAACAATTCGATAATTGCAAAATTGTTTCATGTGGGAAAAAATACTAAGAATATACTTGATTGAATGTATCAAGTGACTGGGGTAGTTGACGATTTTTTAACTAAGAATTTTATCTGAATTTACAGAAAATTGGTTAAGCATAGAATATACGACTACGGCGAGGTGATTAACCGATTGTTCAAAAAGTTGACAATGTTAGACATTTTCATTTATAATTTAATTATGATTTTGTTTTCCGAATAGCATTGAACCAAAAAATAGTATATTTCTCGCCTGCGGCTCGAATGCCCACTCCACATGAGTAAAAAACTCAATCCCAACAAACCCAATAGTATTTTTCCGTAATGATTTTCAAGTTTTCGAGTTTGGGAAGACCGCGTGAGAAGCAGTACGGAGAATTGAAATTCTTCTCGGGTCAGCAAATGTCTAGAATCAACTGACGATTTTTGTACTGAAAAAAAATCCGTCATGATTTATTTTCTTCGAAGTTTACTACCGATCCACTTTCATATTCGTCAGAAAAATTTAAATTTAATATATATAGTTAAAGCTCAAATAGTTTTAAGGGGAAAAATCGTCGAAATACGTGAACATCAAATTTGTAACCTTATTCCAGCTTTTGAAGTCAATATTTTTCAAACAACGAATTCATTTAAAAAGACCAATAAAAAACTAAAACGTAATATGGCTTTTGCTTTTGTTGTTTACTGGCAACTTATCGCGGACATCAATTATTACAAAATATATCCGCAAATATTCACGTTTGGCACCGAAGCTGCAAAAAAGCTGGAAAAATTCACAGAGAGTCGATCTAACCCATAGAAAAGTATAGAACATTTTCAGAATTTTCAGACATAGAATGCTTCTTTAGTGTTTCTCAAATTTCTTAATTCCATAGCGTTAATTGAAATGCTGGGTTTTGAAATTTATGACAAAATATTCCATTTTTTCTATTACAATTTCTTGCATTGCCAGTACCAAATGATAAATTTACAATTTTTAAATTTTAAATTTCAAAGTTAAATCACCATCCGCGGAAGTTATACGTTCCTTAACGGTCTATATGAAGCTGAAATTTTTTTTTTCCACTCAATATCATCTGAATTGATTCTATCAATACTTTTCATTGTTCAATCCTATTGCTTAAAAACGATGAATCAAAATGAAAACTTTAAGGTTCGGGTGAGACTTTTTGATCAACATATACATTGCCAAAAATGGCTGGCCGATAAGATTAAGTACAACTATACACGGAGAGAAATATTCAATAAAAATTACGTGTATTTTCCGTAATTCTGGAGCGAAATGTGGTTGTCGGAAATTTTACGGAACTGTCACATAATTTTTATCTAAAGTCACGGAATTTTTCCGCGGTGTTCCGTAATTTTTATCTGAATTATCGGTGAGAAATAACGATACCGTCACTTAAATTTTTCGAATCAACTCCGTAATCGGTAAATGAACTGAAAGTTCTGTAATTTTTACTAAATATTTCTCTCTATGTAGTTAAAACGCACACACTGCGTGCAATTTACTGAAAAATATGAAAAAAAAACTCTTTTCAGAAAATGTAAATCGCGGAACCCGTAATTGAAAGTACGAAGTCTGTAATTTATATTGATCAGCCCTATTGTAACACTATTTTATACAAAAGTGTGATGAAAAAGTTACAAATTACAGTGGAAAATGTCCTGCAGCGACGTTTTTCTAATATGTTTTATGTATTACATGCGTTGTGTGTTTTTAAATAGAATTTATTACTACAATTATACGTCGGCCGTTTGCTACTTACAGGTTGTTTCTGAAGGACTAATAAACCTCGTGTCGAGTGGTAGATTGAAGTTCCTGAATATGAGAAACATGCAAAAAATGTATTTGCCAACATTTTTTGAGGCCCAGGTGAACTATCTATCGAACGTCGACTTTTGTTTAAATTTTATCTTTTTAACCTAAAATACATTAAAATTTGGGACCAATTTTGTGTCGCGGGAAGCACTTGAATGGACAGAAAAAAATAATGAAAAAAAAAGAGGAAAAATGATTGAAGGGCGCTAAAGATCGATATTATTTAAAAGGGATTTACCAAGTTTGCTAAAAAATAATAAAAAATACGTAGCTGACTATTGCATCTAGCTGTCACTCAATCTTCTGAAGAGCAATGGTAAGCTGCGTAATTTCTATTATTTTTTTGTAAACTTGGTAGATCCCTTTTAAACAATATCACTCTTTAGCTCCCATCATTGATTTTTCCTCTTTTTTTTCATTATTTTTTATAACCATTCGAGTAGCTCCCGCAACACAAATTTGATCCCAAGTTTTAATGTATTTTAGGCTAAAAAGATAAAATTTGAACAAAAGATGGCATTCGATAGATAGTCCACCCGGGCCTTAAACTATTAATATTTAATGTTGTCCAATGGGACTCATGTATTTTTCCGGAATAGGATACATAAAGTAGGGGAGAGAAAAGGTGACAACAGCACGCCAGATAACAGGAAGGGGACGTTTAAGAGTCGATTCAAGTATCAATTTAACTATCGTTCCAAATGTATTACTTCAGGCATTGAATGAAGTAATACTTCATACGCTACTTGAACTGATACCTGCATCATTCCAAGTATCGATTTAAAGTATCAATTCCGAAGGGCTGGTCACTCCTCATTTTCATGGTTCAGTGACTCCCGAAATTCATTGATTTGCTGTCATTTTTCGAATGATTTCTGTGATTTCTTAATCAGAATTAGAAATCATGACTTCTAATGATTTTACATTAATAAAATGTGTAAAATAAAAGGTTTACATGGGTTATATGATTGAAATTCTGATGTGAACCGGCGTTAGAAAGCAATGCCTGTCAGGATTATACGGACGAGATCAGAGAGTATGAGAGTCAAATTACATTTGAATGAGAGAGTCATAAGGTTCGAAACGATTTTACCAGATACCACGGATAAATCAAACGCTCCAAAATGTCTTAGGTCGTACTACTGGCCCACGTTGGAACAGGAGGGAACGTGCTTATTATATTTTAAGATTCGAAGACTGATATTTCCAACCCGTCCTTGTTCAACGACCGTGGGATAGTAGAGCTGAAACTGCGAATTAACGTTTGTGGTCCCTAACTCATCCATAACTTCCTTGACTTCCGAAATCCCTTTGGATTGCTTTGTAATTTCTAATTATTTCAAACGATTATTGCAAATCACCATCAAAACTAGAAATCACTTGATTTTCAGTAATTTTTCTTGATTCCCGATAATTTCTTGAATGATTTCCAACCGAATTGTTCACTGATCCCCGAAGTGAGCAGCCCCTCGATCAATTCAAGTATTGATTGGAGGATTAATTCAAGTATCATGTCAAATATGAATTCGAATATAACTTCAAGCATCGTTGCAAGTATAACTTCAAATATTCATTCCTGTATTGATTCAAGTATTAATGGAAGTACCAATTCTAGCATCGATACAAGCATAGATCCGACGTGTTGGTTGAAGTATCAATTCAAGTGTTACAACACTCATTACCATGACTCACCACCTCTCATCTAATGACGTTTCCAATAATCTTCACGTTCCCAGTGTCTTCTCACCATATGACGCGTTATTGTCACCTTTTCTCCTCCATATTCAAATCTAATAAAGTTTTTTTTAGATTTTTTCCATAATCACGGGATCTCAATCCACCACTGGACGAGCGCTCTATTAGTTATTTAGAAACATTCTGTATCCATACGGGCATTCCATGCGAATTCAACCAGCCCATTACCTCGATCTCTCAGACTTTAATTGCAATTTTTATAAGGTGAAGCTAACTGAAAAAACCACTCTCAATTGTTTTTTCGATTTTCCCCATGATTAGTTATTTTTTATTGAAGCGGAAACCTAAAAAACAACCTAATGCTCTTAAAATCTGAGAAAAATCCGAACATTCTGAAGAAAAGAGTTTTTTTTTTTAATTTATCACAAGATGGTATTATTGGAGGGAATGGACTTCTTCGAAATTCCTGTCATATACTTCCAGAGCCGCCTTATTCGAATCCAGTGCAAGTTGTCGTGTCATGATTTTGCGATGACTTAAGGCCCGGATGGACCATCTACCGAACGTGATCTTTTATTTAAATTTTAGCTTTTTTGCCTAAAATACATTGAAGTTTGGGACCAAATCTGTGTTGGCGGAAGCACTTGAGGGACATTAAAAGATAATGAAAAACAAGTGGGGAATGCCATTATAAAGAACTGTGTATAGCTGTTGTTGCTAAGAAATTAGCAACAAGCCTCCGAATGGATTTTCTGAAAATTGGATAATAATAGTGGTAGTTCCATCATTTTTTGACTTGAAGGAAGAAAAATTGAGCAGTCATTTCATTGATATTGCTCATAATATTTTCCGTTAATCAGAAAGAAGATGAAAAAAAAAATCTCATACACAATATGCGTTTTTGCCCATATTCTGATACGATAGAGTGACTATTAATATCAATTTTTTAAGCGATCATTAATTCCTCTGATCATAACTATTTGTGTCATCGTTGAAAATCAATTTTCGAAAAAATCCGAATAGTTCTTTGTGCCGATTGCAGTTCCAATTGTTGTCAATGAATGAAGTGCATGAGAGTCTGTATTAGCAGGAAAATTCAAGAGATTCAATTGATTCTTCGTAAAAAATGTAAAAAAAATTAAAAAAACAATTTTAGTGAAAAATTACGGATTCTTCTGTATCGTCAGGGAAATTTCAAAACCAATCAGTGTCAATAGATAGAGCTTTTAAAAGTCTATCTTCATTGCAAAAATTCATGATATTCCATCAATCCCTTGTGAAGCAAAAACGAGAAAAAAAAAGCGAAAATCACACATACTGTATGGGTATGTGTGATTTTGGTTTTTTTCTCTCGTTTTTGCTAAAATCGTACAGACACCATCTAAAAACCGTATAGTCGGACTGTTTAGGCTACATTTACTTACCCTAACATAATATATGCCAACAGTCGTTCACTACTACGTCGAAACGACCATCTCCACAACTTTCCTCTACATAGGTCTTGAAATAGCTCTGTAGATAATGAGAATAACATAAAAATATGGCACATAATTTATGAAGTTTTTCTCATTTTTTTGTTTGAGATTTTCTTTCTTATCTGGCAGTGCGTTTCAGCTCGAAATTGATTTAAATCATCACAAAATGCTGAAAGACTGAAATTCCCATTAGATTCGAATAAAGTTGCTCTAGAAATATATGATCAAAATTTTGAAAAAATTTAATTCCTTCAACAATATGAAAGTTGCCCTAGTAAATCTCCCATCAGTAATACCACGTTGTAATGAATTTTAAAGAAATACTCCCATTTTTCAAACTTTTAGGGATTTTTAAAAATTTTAAAAGCATGTCATTTTTTCTAGCTTTCAAATTGAACAAAAAAACACTATCCCTGTTAAAAATCAAAAAACAAATTGAGAGTGGTTTTTCAATTAGCTAAACTTTATTAAAAATCGCTATCACAATCCGAGGGTTAGAGTTAGCATGGAATGCCCCTTGCGCAAACAACTTCCATCTGGGCCTTATACCTCCAAATATTACTAGATTGGTAATTTGTTCAAAAACCTAAAACCATTGACAATTGTAGAGTAATCAATAAAATGTACAAAATGAAAGTTTGGGACACTATTAATTGACGAAATTATTTTTTCAGGTACGTCTGGTTCTCATAGGTTCATGCAGAAACGATGATGACAGAATCCGAGTGAAAGACATGCAGGACTTATCAAAACATTTAGCAATCGACGAAAATGTTGAATTCAAACTAAACATTCCATACAACGAATTGGTGAGAGAATTCCAGTTGGGAACGATTGGCTTACACACTATGTGGAACGAGCACTTTGGTATAAGTGTCGTGGAGTGCATGGCTGCCGGATTGATCACGATAGCCAATGATTCTGGTGGGCCCCGGGCTGACATCGTCGAGACACAGCGAGGAAGTCAGACTGGTTTCCTTGCATTCGACGCAGAGGAATATGCTAGAATTATTGCAATGATAATTCATATGAATTCAGAAGAAAAGAACACGATAAAAAATGCTGCGAGAGCGTCAGTTAACAGATTTTCCTCTGAGCAGTTTGAGAGAGAATTCCTGCGAACGGTTGCTCCATTATTCCGACCAAAGTTAGAATAGCCAACTAGTTTTCCATTGTCCACCATGTGACTGATCACTTCCAACTTTTAATTATCCTGACCAATGTAAATAAATTGAGTTATGAGAATGAATGGAATTCCATCAATGCATTCAATTTATTTAGGAATCATTGGTGAGACCACAGCCTTTACATTCAATGACAAATTCTGTAGGATCTGCTTTGTTATAATTCCTCAGCCTGAACTCTAGACCTCGATCTTTTAACATTATTTTTGCGATTTCGATTGCAGTCTCGGTATGCTGGGTGATTGGTTGAGAGCCGATGGAGACTGTGGACTGGCCTTTAGCTAAGGCCATGAGCAGGATCAGCTAAAAAATATTAAACAGAGATTAAATTATTATCACAATTTTAATTTCTTGTCATTTTAATAGCCGAACAGCAAAATTCGTAAGTGAAATCCATATGCGAGTAGGTATAAAACACGTAATAAATAAGACCTAATTCGTGTCCATTGATTTTTGGTAATAGCTCGTATCATCACAGTTTCGTAATGTTACTCGACAACTCATCACCAAATTTCATTATTGGACAATTTCTTATATACCAGTAACAAAAAGGTACACATTGAATACACAGTTTTTTAGCATAATACCATACCATAGTAGCATTCTTCTTTTTCTGATTTGTGTCTCTAGCTGCATTGGCTTATAGAGATGTTCTGATATTATATAAAAAGGATTTAGACGTGAGTTAGTCGTAAATTCTCATATTTAGTCAGTTAACGCAGATACTAAAACACAGTATGGAAACACAAAAGGTAAGTTTGCTATAGCTGTGGTAGCTGCATAAACGAAGTGAGAAGCCAGGATACGATAGCATATAATAATGATTGCGGTGCTCGTCGGCGACTCTAGTCCGTTCCAGGAACTCGTTTCACTCAGTAAGTCTGAGAACTGATGTGGGTGGAACCGCCACATCCACTCTTCCCCAAGTGATCTGACCCGGAAAAGGAGAGAACGAAACTTTCTTCAACTACCTTGGTGTAGGTCCTTAGTAGCGGATCCATACTAAGCGAATGATGTTCTTCAGGTACGCTCAGTAGACTAGGTTGAAGTGTCTGGTGGTGTCAACGCTGCTGTTGTTGTCATTGTTGCTGTTTTCGCGATAAACGCAAGCTTCAGTCTATCAATAAGATGGCTTTATCAACTTCGTTGACCTTGACAACTAAGACTGTCGTAAATCCTGTTCGATACCTCATGAGGTCCGGTGTAGGGAGGATAGAGAGGTTTTTTTACCGCATGGACTCCGATGAAGGTATCAGAGGTTTCAGATATGTATGCAGGAGATAAAGACACGTGCTTTGGTATAGTGGGCAGTAGTGGTGGGTCTGACTCGCCTCATGTGTAGGAACAGGGAAATTGCCCAACCATCCAAGGTTTATCTCGGTTTTCTCTTAGGTCGTGGGTTTGGTGCGCACCTGTGAGGAAACCCCAAATTTGTGCCTGACTGAGAATTGAGCGCACAAAATTTGGAACTGCCTCTCCCAAAAATATTGACATTTTCGGAGTAGGGTTAGCGTAGGTCCCCGCGAGACTGAAGGAACCTTTAGTTTTTAATTGACCGTGAAGGCGAACAGAGACCTAAGCTAGATTGAAGATTTTCTATGTATCATTAAAAGCATTTTCATTAATTAAATATATTGCAACATGTCCAATGTTCAACTTATTTTTTTATCTCCTGCTAGTTGCATGCCATCGTTATTTGTCCCTACAAATTTTGGAGGCTCATCCGGAATATAACTCGGCATGCAGCAGGACATTCAATGTTATCAGGAAGTTTCAAGGGCTCAAGGGGTTCAAAGTTGGTCAAGGTTCAAGAATGTCACGATGTTCCACGGTGTTTAAGACGATTAACATGTATGAAACAAAAGAGCGTACAGCTGGTGGTTTCAAAAATAATGATGAGTTGAAAATTACCCAGGTGGGGAAATCCAAGCTTGGACGATGGGTCCAAGCTTGGATCAGCTTAGGATACCAAGCTTTGGAATTCCTAGCTTGAACCAAGCTTGATTCAATATATCATATCTAGGTCATTCCAAGCCTTGGAATTGCTAGCTTGAACCAACCTTGATTCTAGGGAATTGTCATGGTTAAA